TATACTTTTAGTTTAAACATATTTCTGTCTCTTGTGAATTCCATATAGTTCTTTTTTAACTTTTTATCCATTCTGCCAATTCCTGCCTTTTAACTGAATATTTACTCTTTACATGAAATGTAATTACTGATAAGGTAGCATTTATTAAGGTAGCATTTAAACAACGGCCATCATGTTGTTTTCTAAACATTGTACATCTTTTTATTTGTTTATATTCCTCTATTACTGTTACCTTTTGTGTTAAATACATATTTTGTAGTGTGCCATTTTAATTCACTACCATCTATTTTATTATATATTTTTGAGTATTTTCTTACTGGTTGCTTTGGGGATTACAATTACCAAGTTACAACAATATGGTTTGGACTAATACCAACTTAACTTTGATAGTACAGAAAAACCTTGCCACTGTAAAGCTTCATTCTTTCTCCCCTTATTTATGCTGTTACTGTAATATAAATTACATCTTTATATATCAAATCAACACAGGTTGATAAATATTACTTTATGTAGTATTAAATGAAAATAATGAAAAATACTTCATTATTTCCCTGGCCAGGTGGCTGGAGCATTGCCCTATATACAAAGGGTTGTGGGTTCAATTCCTGGTCAGGGCACATACCTGTCTTTTAAATAATAAAGAAAAAAATGAGTTAAAAACAAAAATATATCTGTACTGTCTTTTATATTTACTTATGTAGTTATCTATACATGTATCCTTTATCCTTTAATGTGGTTATTTTGTAGTGTCCTTTCATTTCAACCTGAAGGACTCCCTTTAATATTTCTAGTAGGGCAAATTTCTTAGTGACAAATTCTCTCTAATTTTGTTTATACATATATTTTAGAAATGTATTAATTTCTCCTTCTTTTTTGGAGGATAGTATATTTAGATATAGAAATCTTGATTGAAAGTCTTTTTTTCTTCGGCATTTGAATGCCATCCCACTGTTTTCTGCTTCCATAACTTTGGCTATAAATCTTACTGAGAATTATGTGATAAGTGGTTTCTCTCTTGATACTTTCAAGATTCTCTCTTTGCCTTTGACTTTCAGTCAGTTGATTATAATGTGTTTGGGTGTGGATTTTTAAAACTTATTTCAGTTGAAGTTTTATGCTTCTTGGATTTGTTTTTCACAAAATTTGGGAAGATTTTGACCATTACTTTTCAAACATTATTTCTACCCTTTTCTCTTTCTCCTCTCCTTCTAGGACTCCCATTATACATATGTTGTTATGTTTGATTGTGTCCCACAGGCTTCTGAGGCCCTGTTTATATTTCTGTATCTCTTTTTTACAGGCATACATTAGAGTTCTGCAGGTTCAATTTCAGACCAGCACAAGAAAGTGAAAATCATAATAAGTAAGTCACACGAATTCTTTGGTTTACCAGCACATTTAAAAGTTATTTTTACACTGCTATGCAGGCAATTAAGTGTGTTATATCATTATACCTGAAAAAATAATGTACGTGTCTTAATTTAAAAATACTTCATTATTTACCTGGCCAGGTGGCTGGAGCATTGCCCTATATACCAAAGGGTTGTGGGTTCAATTCCTGGTCAGGGCACATACCTAGGTTGCGGGTTCAATCTTGGTCAAGGCAATACAGGAAGCATCTGATCCATGTTTCTCTCTTACATCAATGTTTCTCTCTCTTTCTCTCTCAAATCAATGGAGACATGTCCTCAGGTAAGGATTAAAAAAATACTTTATTGCAAAAAACCTAACCATCATCTTAGTCTTCAGTGAGTCATAATGCTTTTGTTGGTTAGAGGGTCCTTGACTTTGATGGCTGCTAACTGATCAGGATGGTGGTTGCTGAAAGGTGAGTTTGCTGTAGCAATTTCTTTTAATAAGACAACAATGAAGGTTGCATGAACGGACTCTTCCTTTCACAAACAATTTCTCTATAGCAGCAATTTTCAAACAGTGTGCCACAAGAATTTTTAAAACATGATAACTGACTATTTAGTTAGGGGCACTGACCTAACTAAATTTGCTCTTAAATTGTCAAATAAAAAAATGACAACAGCCAACAACAATTGTCATCCGGTGTGAATGAATCAGATTATACCTATTTCTTTTTGTCAGATCAGCAAAAAATATATTTTTCTGTGCGCCACAGAATTTTAGTAATTAGTTTTTGTGTGCCACGAGATGAAAAAGATTGAAAATTGCTTCTCCACAGTGTATGATGCTGTTTGATAGCATTTTACCCACAGTATAACTACTTTCAAAATTAGAGTCAATCCTTTCAAACGCTGCAACTTTATCAACTAGGTGTATATAATATTCTAAATTCTTTGTTGTCATTTCAACAATATTTGTAATATTTTCACCAGGATTAGATTCCATCTTAAGAAATCACTTTTTTCTGCTCATCCATAAGAGGCAACTCCTCATCCATTAAAGTTTTATCATGAAATTGCAGCAGTTCAGTCATATCTTAAGGCTCCATTTCTTGTTCTGGTCCTCTTGCTATATTCACGACCTCTGCTGTAGCTTCTTCCACTGAAGTCTTGGATCCCTCAAATTGTCTGTAAGGGTTGGCATTAACCTCCAAACTCCTGTTACCGTTGATATGTTAATATTCATGGTGCCCCCAAACAATTACAAGAGTAACATCAAAGATCACTGATTATAGAGCACTATAACAAATACTATAATAATGAAAAAGGTTGAAATGTTGTGAGAATTAGCAAAATGTGACACAGAGACATTAAAGAAGCAAATGTTGTTGGAAAAAAATGATAGTGATAGACTCATTCAACATATGGTTTTTTTCAAATTTTTTCAATTTGAAAAAAATATCTACAAAGCGCAATAAACAAAACTGACTTATATCCAAATTTGCAAATTCTTTCTTCCATTGATGAAATCTCTGTTGAGTTCCTCTAATGAATTTTCTACTTCAGCTATTATACTTTTCAACTCCAGAATTTTTATTTATATTTTTAAAAATAATTTCTGCCTTTTTATTAATATTATCTATTAGGTAAAACATGCTTCTAACATTTTCCTCTAGTTTTTTAGACATGGTTTCCTTTAGCTTTGTGAACAGATTTAAAATATCTCTTCTAAAGTTTTTATCTAGTAAGTCCAATGCATGAGCTTCCTCAAGGATAGTTTCAACTGATTCTTTTACTCCTGTGTATGGTCATTACATTTTTGTTTCTTTGCAAGTATCATACTTTTAAAAGTTTTTATTTTAAATAATAAAATATGGCAATTCAGAAAATCAGATTCTGTCCTCTCCCCAGGGTTTTCGTTCTTACTGCTTATTCAAGTAGTTGTTGGTTTAGTGACTTTTCTGAATTAATTTCTTAGTCTGTGCTCATTGTTGTGTTTGAGAACTGAAGTCCTTGTTTAGTTAGCTTAGTGGTCATCTGATGACCAGATAGAGATTTCCTTAAACATCTTCAACTAATAGTCTCCCACTCTTTGCTGAGGGTCTTAGTATGTGTGTTGGGGCATACCTTTCACACTCAAAGAATTTACAACTGTAGCTTAGTTTTTACTTCTTACTTGTATAAGAGCCTCAAGGTCAGCCAGAAGTGAAAGCTTAAGGCCTTCTCAGGTCTTTCCTGAGCAACCACGTGGCCCTAGGCATGCACACAATTCTAATGCATATTTCCTTCTAGATTCCCAGGAATATGTCAGAGTTTTTAAGACTCCCTTATGGACATCTCATTCTCCAGCTAAATACTTTAGTATTGGTGGAGCAATGGTCTTCCAAAGAAATTTGAACAATTCTTAATCTTTTATTGGATGCTATGGGGAGCCACTGGTGAAATTTTAAGGAAAGAAGGGGCATGCTTGTAAAGGCATAGCAGGAAAAAAAAATTTCCAATGGAGAATGGATTGAAGGGGGACAGACTGGAGGAAGGGAGATCAAGGAGACTATTGCAGCATTCTACGGAAAAAGTGATGCAGGCCTGAGTTAAGAGAGAATGGAGAAAAGGGAGTGGTGGGTTGGGAAAGCTATTTTACAGATTAGACACTTCATTAGGTGGGTGGCCAGTGGGAACAGGGATATAAGAGGAAGTGTCTACTCTCAGGTCAGACTGGGAAAACTGATTGAAGGATGAGTTCATTCACCAAAAATGTAAACAAAGGAGGCATAGGTTTTGGGGAAAACATAAAGATGAAGATCCAAATATAATTAATATTACCTATTCTTAAATAATTATGTATTTTTTAGATAGAGATGGAGTATCTTTAAGAAGGCAATTCTGTGTAATTGTGCTGCTCAGATAGCTTTGGGTTCAGATGCGGTAATCCCTCCTTCCCATTCACCCAGTAGACTTCATCATCATTCTTGGTTTATGAATGTTTTAAGGATGCTTATTATTTGCAGTGTATTTGACCAAGTGAGTGGGGCTTGATAAACATGCTGCCTTAAACAGAACGTGTACCTAAGTGTGATATAAACTTTCAATAGTCATTTTTGGGCGGTTTTGCTCTCTTAAAATCTAGCAGAGAGCAGACAATGGATAAAACGTTTGTTATTAATGCAAATTACATGAAGAAACATCAGCAAACGATTCTTTAAGCCCTGCAAATAAATTTGAGCTTAAAGTAGATGATTTTAACATTTGGTAACGTTGGTTCTACTTGAAATCCAATCCTTGCAAAGAGGTAAAGACAAGGAGGTCGGCAGATCGCGCTACAGGAAAAAGCATCTGACCGATTCCCCTTTTCACATCCCTCCTTTTTTTCTTTGTTTTTTTAGGTGACAAAGTAAACCTTTTAGTGTTCGAATAGGACCGCGGTGAACACCAAAGCGAAAAGCGTTCTAATCTCCGCGATCCTGCGGTTCTATATCCTAGCCAGTCACCTCCGGGGCTGGGTAGGCCGGCGTGCCAGAAACACGACGCGAGGAGGTGGAGAAAGAAAAGTAAGGGTGTAGGAGCGGCGGCGCAGCAGGCGGCACTATTGCGCCCCGCCCTCCCTGCCTAGCCGGGAGGTGCAGGGCAGTCTCAGCAGTCTGTCCCGGGCGCTCCTCCCGGGACGCCGACGGACTCCAGAGACGTCTCCAATTGGCCGTCGAGGGAACGGAAGCCGAAGCAGAGCAGTGAACCCGGAAGTGCTTCGCGGCGGAGGCCCGGGCGACTCTTTTTGAATGGAATCGGGCTGATTCATCGCCGGTTCGCGGAGCCAGAGCCCAGCCGAGTCTGACCCCTTGCTGCAGCCGCCACCGCCGCCGCGTCACCGCAGCTGAAAGACAAGGGTCCAGACCCCGGATTCCTGCCCGCCTTCAGGTAAGACGGGAAATCAGGCCCCGGAGGTCCGCGGAGACAGCCGCGCTAGGCCGCGGCCAGCTCGGTGCTTTCCTGAGTCACGTTGCCCTGTGGAGTTGCCACTGGAGGCCCGGGCCCTGACGGAGGGGCCCGGGCTTCTTCGTCTTCCTCGTGGGCCACCCGGGTGTCTGGCAGAGTTGGGTCTGGATGTGATCTCCTTCCTCCTGGCGTTTCGGCTTCGCTGAATTCACATTCTGGGAACCTAGCGTCCCTATAGAGGGAGAACCCGTGTTTATGGCCTCAATGTGTGCTCTATTGATAGTTACCCCTATTTTGCAAAACTCCAAATTAGACAGAAGGAAAAAGGGAGGAAGAATAAAATTAACTTTTAATTGTGAGTGCACGTTTGCCTTATCACTTGCCCTTCCCGTAGGCCTTGACTCTTCTTAGTGTTAGGTTTTCAACTCCCTTCATAAAACAAACCAACCCCCCAGAGATTCACTGATTTCTCACCTTGAAGATCTTCAAAACAAAATGTGGTTATTCCTGCTGTGCCTTAACTAACTTTCAGTGTGTCGTATCTGAGTTGTTTTGGTGAATTGATTACATTTACTGTTTTCTGTAAAGTAGAAATCTGCTACTGTTGTGTTACCTTCTAATTTTGTTGGGGACGTTACTTAGTTTCAGTCAAAAGAAGAAAAATACAAACTTTTTGAAAGAGTCTGAATATAAATCTGGTGACTGAATGAAAAAATCTTGAAATTAAAATGGTACCAAAAGTTGATAAAGGTTTCATGGAAGTGGCAGGAAAGAGGCTTTAAAAATTAATATAGAAATATAGTTCTAGAGTGAAAGTAATTTTTTCACTGCCCACAAAAGTATGTTTTTAGTGCTGATGACTTAGTGTTTGTGAATAAAGCAACAAAGACAGTCACTAGTATTGTTGAAATAACCAAAAAAGAACTGAATACAATTTTAGTGGAGATGATTAACAAAATGGTAACCTTGCCCTGTCATGTAAGCCTACCATCCTTCAAAGTTTAAATTATGTGGTTCAAACAAATGGTATGGGTTTTTGTGCATTTAGAGAGATTAAGACATGTAATGGCTCAGAATTAACTGAGTTACAATGTGTTTAGTGAAGGGGTATTTTATGAAAAGCCTGACTATAGTCTTAAATTTGTCCCAGAACAAAATTACATCAGGCCAACAGAAGAAAGTTTTAAAGTTATGATCTTTCAGTGAAGCCTCACCTGTTGAATTTAGGAGATTTTCCCCAAGCCCTGTACTTAGAAAATAGTATGTCACTGTTCTAATTGAAAAGCTGGATTGTAACCTTCCTGACATGAATTCTTTGTGTTTGGTTTTATACTTGTCATTTAACTGTGTGTTTAGTATCTGAGTTCAGAACCCATGTTTGCAAGTCAGTAATGAGAAGCAATTGTGCTTTTGTTTTTTTCAATTTCAATAAAAAGCAATATTCATTTCATAAATCACTGACCACATATGGAAGCCTCACTTGAATACTCGTGTGATTTCTTACTCAAGAACTTGTCATATATATCCTGTTTTTTTATACTCATTTGACATTCACATTCTGTTTTTTGATATTTTCATGTCCCCCTGTGTAAAACGAGAATTTGATTCAATCATCTCTTCCAGCTCAAAGATAATAATGATAGTAACAACAACAGCAACAACAGTTATTGAGTTATGTGTGAATATTCCAGGCACCATATTTGGTGCTTGTATTTGTTCTTGCAACAGACTTGAAATTGCAAGGTAGGTATTGGCCCCATTTTATAGATGAGGTAGAGGAAGTTATCTTGTTCTAGATCCTATATCAAGTAGATGTTGAAACCAGGATTCAAATTTAGGTCTGATTGGACCCAGAGCCTTTCAAGGGGTACTCTGCTATGCTTTCATTTTATGTATTTTTTCATGGGTTTATATCATGCCTCTCCAGGTAGATTGTAAATTCTTTCAGTACAAGCCACTGAGTTTCCTAGTGCCTCTGTTTTCTTATTACCTTGTACACATGGTAGTATTTAATAACTTTTATTTGAATGATGTAATTAGACGACCCCACAAGAGATACTAATGATAATTCTATCCTCACTGTTCTAAATTGGAGAAAATCTTGCTTTCAAAATCTTGCTTATATAATTAAGTTTAATGTCGACTCTTTGTGTTCCTTCCACTGAAGAAAACCCTTAAGAATGTGAAAGAAGTTCCTAATTACTTTCTACAAATCAGAGCGTATAGGAATTAGAAATACAGTGAGATCACAAAGAATTTAGCATCAGTCTGAGAAATAATAGTATTTAACTGCAGCATTGGTTGGAGAGTAAAAAGGGGAAATAAGAAACATAATGGTAAACTCAAACAGCTAAGGGCTTTGTGATTTTGTTTGAATTTTATGAATTATTGGGCTATCGTGTCCCTTGTGGAAAGGTTGAAAAGTTAAAAAAAAGAGTCCCATTAATCCAGATTAAGATAATTTTGAAAGATTTATTTTTTTAAGGTTATTCATGTTTCCATAAGTTTCCTATAAATATTTGAGAATGATACGTTTTAATTACAACATGAACATGATCTAACTATATCAGGTTCTAATCAGATAATAACTCAGGAGATGAAACAATGGAAAATCATTAACCTTTTGAAAGTACTGGTACTTTGTACTGTTTTAATCAATTAGAATATATTACTGTATGTATGGCCTGTTACATGTAGTTAAATACTTGATTCGTGTTATCTTCAGTGTTTTAAATAAAGTTAATCATATCACGAATGGGCTCTTGAGTTTTTCACTCTTTGATAGGTGTAAAAACTTGGTTTAGATTCAAGGACTTTTTGTATTGCTTTTTTTTTTTTTCCCTAAGAATTGGAATTATTCCCTTTTTATAGTATAACACTTCAATTTTATAAATCCTTTTGGTAAATTCTGCAAAATGTAGGTCCCGTCTCTCCATTACGGTTCATTTAGTACTGTGAAATATGTCCAGGGCATTGAAACTCCATAAGTGGCAAACTGTGTGTGAAGAAGAATCTGTGTTGGATGAACTGTAGCTGTGCTCATGGGATAGTAGGGCTGATGACAGCAGCTAGTATACATTGTTTACTTACTGTGTGCCAAACATTGTGTTAAATATTGTTTATGTCCATTGTCTTCTTTAATCTCCAAACAACTCTTTGAGATAGATGTTATCATTATCTCCATTTTCCAGATGAGGAAACTGAGGCTGGGAGAGGTGACTGGCCCAAGAACACAGAGCTAATAAGTGATAAGTATTAGAGCTGGGATTTGAATCCTGGCGCTTGGGCTACAGAATCATAGCTCTTAACTCTCATATACCAAGAAAAATTGTCATCACCATTTGCCTGCTGAGTTCTATGTTAGAAATATTAATAAGTTTTAACATAGAAAATACAGATTTCTTTTTGCTATTACAGATAATGCTACAGTGAATATCCTTCTGTATATCTAATATAATTATGTCTGTAGGAAAGATTCATAAAAGTGGTACCGTGGTACATGTACCTGAAATGGACAACATCCTTCTAATGTATCTAACTGCTCTTCATCCATCATGCGTAAACCTGGTCCATATACACCTTGTAAAGATAAGTTTCACATTTTAAAAAATGTCTCTAAGTAGGCCCTCTAACTCATTACTTCTTCTGGTTCTCCTTGCACTTGGAATTCTTGATATATGTGAAAATATACATAACGTAAAATATACCATTTTAACCACATGTAGGTGTACAGTTCACTGGCATTAAGTACATTCACTTTGTCGTGCAACCATCACCACCATCCATCTCCAGAACTTTTTTAATAAGACATTGACAGTTCATAATTTTGTTGAAGAGAGGATGGTCATCATCTTTGCTTGCAAAACATTTTATTTTTAGCTTCATAAACACCAATTAGAGTTAGTCCAATGGTTTTTTCCCCCCATTTCTACATTATTTTCTTTTAATCACCTCTGTGTTACACTTCAGCATTTATTTACATATAAACTGTATCAACATTTTAAAAGATAAAAGTCTATGTTACACATCTCTTTAGCAAAACAGGTTTTTGTTGTAAAATAGTGTGCGATGAAGTCCTTACTAAATACCTAACTGGATGAGAATGTCATCTGTCATTTTTGGTCTTAGAAATATTGTTGTTTGTTCATTGACCCCTTAAAGAAAAAATTTATTGAGATGAAATTTATGTAATATAAAATTAACCATTTTAAAGTTAACAGTTCAGTATCATTCAGTACTTTCACAGTGCTGTACAGCTAACACCTCTATCTAGTTTCAAAGCATTTCCATCTTTCTAAAGTAAAATCTGTTACTTTAAACTGTTTGGCAGTGTCTCCATTTTACTCTCTCCACCCAGCCCCTGGCAATCAGTGGATCTCCATATGTTTCTCAGGATTTGTGTATTTTGGATATTTCATATAAATGAAATCATAGAATATGTGACCTTTTGTGCAGACTTTCAGATAGCATAATGTTTCGAGGTTCATCAACATTGTAACATGTATCAATACTTCATTCCTTTTTATAGCTGAATACTATTCCATGTTTCATTGTTTATACAGGCAGTGCTAGAATTTGTTTATTTTTTTCTTTGATCGACATTTGGGCTGTTTCCACCATTTGGCTATTGTGCATAGTGATGCTATGAACATGCATGAACATGTACTTGTTTTGAATACCTGTTTCCATGTCTTTTGGATGTATACCTAGGAGTGGAATTGCTGGCTCATATGGTAATTCTATGTTGAACTTTCTGGAGAGTCCCAAACTCTTTGCAGCACTCATTGGTTCTTGAGTTTGAGAAAATGAATCTAAGATATGGTCATCTGAAGACGCATAATCTGAGATGTTTATATCAGTGGTTGTTAATTGGGAGTGATTTTGCCCTTTCAGAGGACATTTGGCAATGCCTGGAGACATTTTTGATTATCACTGCTGAGTAAGTGCAACTGGCATCTAGTGGGTAGAGGCCAGGGATGCTGCTAAACATCCTATAATACACAAGACAGCCCCCTACAACAAAATTTTTTTTGGTTCTTGGAATGTCAGTAGTGCCCCCAAAACCCTGGCCTATACCATCAGCTTTACTGTCATTATTAGGGAATAGAGTGCTGTTACTTCTTTACACATTTATCTTGTGATTCTCTAATAATTGTGAAACTTTTTTGGTTTGTCAATTCTCTCTTTGTTATTATGGGTGGGATATGGAAAATTCTGAATTCTCAACTGTGTTCAGTGAAAGCAAAAAAAAAGACTACAAAGATAATGTCTCTAGTCTTCTGTATCGTTTTGAAAGGTGAAGCAATGATTTGGGCGGCACAGTAAAAACGAAAGAATCATGAAGTAGCTGTAATGTATTTTACTGTTGCTTCAATTTGTGTGATTTTTATCATTCTTTGATTTCCTTGTGATTTTAGTCTTTTTTGCATAGTAGGAAATAATGGATTAAGAAATGATGAACTAATTTCTAAGATAATGAAAATAGCAAATCTCAAGATATAGGACAGATGACATTACAATGATTCCGTAATGTGTCATGTATTGTAATAATGTTGCAGTGGACCTAATATGGTAATTGCACAACTGAGTGAATTTTGTTCTATTTAAAAACACAAGTAAATTTTCTCATTGCTCATTGAAACACCTTTAGAAAGACTAAAAGTCATAAAATGTCAATTTTTACATATAATTAGAACTGCTCAAAAAATGAGAAACAAAATTTTGATATAGGACTAATTACTATGTTCTAGAGCTCCCAGGATGGTATTTCATATTATACCCTCTGGCAATTAAAAAATCAATTTTGATTTCTGTTTTGTTTTTAGGAATTTTGCTTCTCATAAAGCTCGTGTTATATTATCCTTTTTAGTTCTCAGTGTACTTATATTTTTCTAATTTATTTATTTTTTTAGGAGAGAGAGAAAAAAAATACTTGGATAAAATCATACCTGCCAGTATTAACAAGAACTTGACTTAGAAGAAACTTATCAAAGTCAACAAATTGAAGCTTTACATTACTGGAGTTGTAGTTACTGACCAGGTGAGAATTAAGAATATATTTTACTCTTAACTATTCTTTCAGGAGGTGATATAAGGATCTTATGAAAATATATCATTTTTAACACATGTCAAATTATTAATTAGATAACCAGATTTAAGGACTCATCAAAGTTATTTATTTTTGTTTGCTTTCTGTAAACTTATAAAAAGTAGTGTGATTTAGAACAGTTATCAGTGTATTTCATTTCCAAATCTTAGTATTTTTATTAGATCTGATTATTTTATCTTAAAATGTTTTAGTTTGTTAAATATTTTTTCCTGTTTGCTGAGACACATAATTTTGCTAAAAACACAAGTTTGACCTGCCAGATTTTCTTTCCCTCTGCTCCCCACATTGCTCATGTATATTCACAGCATCTGGAGTCTGTGTAAAGTCATCAGAAACATCACAGGGGGAATAGATAAGCTGAACACAGCTGGGAATCGACTTTGGCCTGGAATATATATACTGTCTAAAAGTATACTGTATACTGTTAGTTTTTTTTTCATTTATTTTTAAGTTTGTAAGCTTGAAATGGTCTAAAAGAAAATTTTTTTCTTTGGCGATACAATATAATCTAGAGAAATGTCTTTAATATTTTAAATTATACAGGTTTTACAGGTTTCTTTTTTCCCCCCCTATCTACAGCCTTTAAAGAGTGCTATGTACTGAATTCCATATTTTAGTTGAAGAATTTTAATGAGAATTTGATGGAGATTTTATTTGGAAATGTTGCTGTTAGGAGTATGAGTTATAAAGTGGAAATTTGTCTGGACTGTCCAGTTTTCTTCTGTGCCTTTTCACATTTTAAAATGAGTTTATTTGTTGTGAACCTCACAAACTTGTGGAGTGAAAGACAGTTAGCAAAGTATATGACTTCATTTCTATAGAATTCAAAAATACCAGAACTAACCTCTGCTGTTAGAAGTTCAAATTCTACCTTTGCGGGATTGTAGAGACTGGGGAGGGGCATGGGGTGTTCTTAGGTGCTAACAATGTTCTGTCCCTAATGTGGTGATTGTGGAGGTGTGTTCACTTTGTGAAAGTTCCATGGCTGTCATTTGTGTGCTCTTCTTTATGGGGACTTGAATAAAGTTTGCAATGTTAACATTGTTAAATATTCTCAGGATTAAATTATTAGCAGGACTCAACAATCATCATAAAGACACTAAACTAATAATCATAAGTACATTATTGAGCTTCAGTTTGTATAGCAGTTTAACTTGTTAAACAGTATGGACAAATGACTAAACATCTGTTAGCATTTAAGTTAGACTATATTTGTAGTGATACCATTTTCTAAAGCATACACTTAGGAAAAAGAGGAATTTTAAGACATACTAACAAGTAGGAAAAATATTTTATTCTCATGTTTAAATATTTAGTTGTACTGGATATTAATTTTTGTAATTTAATTACTCCTTTTTTGTGTATTTGAGGCCATATTAGTACTCTTGCTGTTTTTTCCTTTGAGTTTTTTGTGAAATATTTAGGCTTACACGAATGTCTTCTGTGGTTATTGCAGACATAAAAAACAAATTAGATTGATGTTTCAAAGTTAATGCTCTCTGTATTGATTAACTCTAAGATTATAATTGAGAAAAGCAGCTGAATTTCCTTAGCAAAAAAGGTACATATCTCCACAATATCTGAAATAACACACAACATCTGTGTAGGTTCTAAAACACTATCTTAATGCATTTATTGTTTACTTTTAATATTTCTTTTAATATAATGAGTTCATTTTTAAAAAGCCTTTGATGCTAATTCAGAGATCCATAATCTGCTCACAATGTCTTTCACATGTAGTTTTGATGATAACTGACAAGCTGTAAGTTAATTAGCACAGAACTTACTAATGAGGATGTTAAAATTTAATTTAAAAGTGAGGATTTTTATTTGTACACTCTGGACAAATTGAAGGAAATTCAATCATACATATGATAAGCATTTCAGGCACTTTTTCATTATTCAGGTACTTATTAGATAACAATAAGAAAATATAATTAACTTAATGATAGCAAAGTTTTGAAATTATGCTAAGATTGCTTGTCTTTAAACTGGGGATAACCCAAAACCAAAGCAGTAAAATAAGGTCTGTTAATTAGCATGGAAGACAGCTTCTTGAATTAATATGTGGTGTTAATTAACAGGAAGTCTGATGTTGTGTTGTAATTACCACCAATATTTTTGACATACTGAGTGACTGAAGGTGAATTATATAGATAGCAATTGAGTAAACACTTTTGTGCTTAGAAACGTTTTCTTTTGTTTCTGTTTTCTAGAAACATGGACAGACTTCTTAGACTTGGAGGAGGTATGCCTGGACTGGGCCAGGTTAGTATATAGATGCTCAGTATTTCTTTGTGTGTAAACTGCAAGCCTTCTTCTAGTTACCCAAAGAGAAAGAAATTACTCCCAAGAAAATCCCCTCATAGATAACCTTATGGTAAGAAGCTTACTTTAGTGTATTTCAACACTAAGTAACATGGAGAACATTTTCTACTAACTTAATTTTCACCTAGGAATAGGAATTTCTCTGGTTGCTTTGATTTAAAATTTTGGAATATGTGAGAATATCAAACTTGCATTTTAGTAAAAAAAAAAGACTCAAAATATCTTATTTGGGGGTTTACAATGTAGACTTGAAAAGTAACACATGAAAACGTAAACATGGCATATTCTTGGTAAGATCCAGAAAACTGACCCATAGTATGTTTGTGTGACAATCTTAAGACTGATAAATTCCTGTTAGTAATTATGATACCTGGATGAATTAATAAGTAATCTCCCTTTTCTTTAAATTTGGTACTTTTCTTTTACATTTTTATTAAAATTAAATGAGTTTTTAGTTGTTTTACTGTTGTAATTTATCTTGTTCCATGCTGTTGAGCAAATGACCTCTACATAGACTTCTCTCTCAGGGTATTCTATCTACTTTCAGTTAAAGAAATTTATGCCTCTTTTGAGTTCTACACTAATCACCATTTACTCCTCTGTCAATATGAGAGATGACTATGTGTTGTTCCTTTCTTTTATGAAATGAATTGTTTTATTACCAAATTTTGGGATTGTTTTTATAACCCACCTTTAGAACCCTTTTAGTTACCAACTTTACCTCATTTCCTTATTGCTGTCAAGACTTCGTCTTCATTCAAAATAGTCTATATTTTGAAACAAATGGTTGTGTAAGAAACCATTTTCTTTGAGATTTCATGAAATTTTTAGTGTTTTAGAGGCAATTTTTCAATAATTCTTTGATTAGATCTAAGATCTTTGACTAATATTAATATATTAGTCATGGTTTATGACTAATATATTTTTTAGAAAGTCAAATCCATTTTGTGATTCTGTATAATATATCCTTGCATAGATTTCAGTTATTTTTTGTTTATTTTTGTTAGTTTTAAATATTCTCATGTTTCTCTATTGTCAGCCTGTTTCTTCATGATTAGTCAGTTTTGTAAAATGTAATCCATTCTCTTAAGAGGCCTAAGCATCTCTGAACTTGATGCTTCCAAAGCCGCTTCTGTTCTTTTGTAAATATTCTAGATAGCTTCTGGAATTTCGCTAACTTATTCTGAAATTAACAATAAAAATGTTAAGACATAAAAAAGTGTCAGAAGTGAGCTGAGGTGATATGTAGGTACTGCAAATTTACTTGCAAAGTATAGGTAAGGATGTTGCCAGCAGAAATTTAATGGAAGTTGCATCAAATTTAAATACCGAACTAACTTTCCATAAGCATTAGATGCAATAAATTATATACCCATATTGGAATCCACACTGGGAAATTGCTGGACATGATATAATGTGTTACTGGCTGCAAATGGAGCTACATCATATCTCAATGACCACTGCAAACCTTTGCATTTGTAGAAAACTAAGTTTTGGTTCCATAACTTTACTTTGGTTTGTGATAATTTAATCAGTCCTTGAGTCCTCATTTTTTTTTTTTTTCTATTTGAACTTAAAAATACATTGCTTAAGAATCTGCCATTTCATGTGTGTGTTTCATCTCCCTAATCAGATGGCAAACTCTCAAGGGAATGATTTGTGTTCTTTCTTATTTCTGTGATATCTCCTTTATCAATAACTAGGTATTAAAGGATTACAATTTTTTCCTAAAATTTATTTTACTCTTGTTCTAGACTAATTTGTCACATACTTACAATGTTACTTTTGCAACATGAAATGTTAAGTCTATTGTCTTTTAATAAACAGGAATAAAGTGCTGTATATTGTTTATTTTTAATAAGAAGTCATTATCTTTGGATTAATAATAGTCCCTCTTGCTGTTAGCTAATGCATAGCAGCCAATAAAAGTAGAAAAGGAGACATAAGTTGTTTTATCCTCCAAAAATCAGTAGAGAATGTGACTATCTTAGCATTTAATGGAAAAAGCAGAATTTTTCTCATATTTTTCCACCAAACATGCTGGTAAGTTTGTGGATGGCCCTTTTAAAACATGAGAATAAGAGTAGAATAGGGTTCTTTATCCATTCTAAGTACTCTTACCTTTCCTTAAACAGAAGTTACCTTTCTCTTTTCCATGGCTAATCTGTCAGCTTATTCTCTGATCCCATCCTCTCTTGAAACCTTGCTCCATTGACCACCCCCCTTCTCTGCCTGCAAAAGTGTTTTAAGTCTCCTGTATCCTAAAATCAGCACAACTTCACTGTGCCCTGACATTAAGCCTTTCCTTCCATTTATTTATAGGATTTCCGAAGTAATAGCTTTTACTCACATATTCTACTTCCTTACCTCCATTGACTCCCCTGAGATTAATATTCTGGCCTCCTCTGTTACTGTACTGGAATTGCTTCAGTTGCCAAGTCTATTTACTTCTAGTTCTCTTAACTAGATTTCAATATTCCACACTGTTCACAGTGTCTTTCTTAAAATTTTCTTTTCCATTACCTTTACCATGCCACTTTTTTCTTTGTTCTTCATTATGGTGTCTGTACCTATAAAAGAACTTCATTTAAAGTCTTGTTTTTTAATATTACAGTTTACAATATTAATATTTGGACAGGGATAGGCTAAAATAATTAAATCTGTCCACAGTCTCCTACCTCAATATAATGTAGTTTGAAGTAGAAACCAACAGATGATGTCTTACTAGAAATATTAGATTTTGTAAACTAATTGCTTTAAATTTCAAATGTGTTTTTAAATTTACTTTGCTAAAGTGCTTACAAGGTAAAAATTACTAAGAGATGTGAGATGATTGTATTAACAACATGTAGTGCTGTAATTTGGTTACCTGATTGTTTTTATAACCATCCCAACTTAGATTTTGGCAAGTGAACTGTTTCAAAAGCAGTGACAAAACCCAAGAAATGTGCATAGCCAAAGCATAGTCTCCAGTCTCTAAAAGTGTTAGTGTAAATCTGGGTCCACTTTAGTTTAGAAACAGTCAAAGTAAGCTTAAATGTAAATGAGACTTAAGTAAAATGTCAGGGGCATTTATTATCTTGTATTTGAATTTTTAGGCCAGTATTTTGAGAATATGTTGTTGGGTGTTATGCTATAGGGAATTCATGGGTAAATAAGAACATCGTTACTTAATCTAGGCCCTTAGATTCTAGTAGATATATGGCAATTATGTTTTAAGTGCCTGGCACATACTAACTACTTTGAATAGGTGAATACTAGTGCTTGTTAAAAATAATGTGAGTTGTAAGTGTAAGGGATGTAGGAATTAATTTTTTCCACAAAAAGAGAAAAATAGGCCAGATTTGAGGAGATGATGTTTGAGCTAAATTTTAGAATACATGCCAAGACATATTAGAAAGGCCAGCAAATAGGTGATGTGAAGGGAAATAATGAGACGGTGGTAAAGAGTTTGGAGAAGATTATGAAAGGTACTGAATGCCATTCTTAGTGAGTTTTACTTTTTATCTCATAAACATCGTAGTTTCATGATTTTTTTTTTAAGCAGAGAATTCATTCTCTGTTTTTGAAGAATAACTCCAGTTTGGAGAATAGGTAGAAGGGAAGAGATTGAACACAAAATCATCAATTATAGGAAATATTTCTGACTTTTTACCTTCCATACACGTGATAGGGTTATACTTTTCCATCATTTTTGAAGTTAGGCTGGCCATGATTTTACTTTGAAAATGCGATGTGAGTTGGAAATTAACAGGCCACTTTTAGGTGAAAGCTTTAAGAATTAGTGTGAGACCTGCCTACACTGGTAATCAAGGAAGTATGCAGATGGAAATTCATAGGTAAGTCCCTCAGAGAGCATGACATATAAAATGCAAGACAGAAATCCTGTGATTTTTGTGTGAAATGCCCTAATTTCTTTTGGTTCCCAGTTTTCGTTTTAAGCAAATTGGTATAACTCAATATATTTAGGCCCATGTTGCCTATAAGTGATTGGTTTGTATCTCTTTGATATATACCTCAGTAATTTCCAGGTGCAAAAATAAGAGAAAATACTGTAGCTAAGTGATCAGAGAAGGCTTCCTGAAAGTGGTGAGGTGTAAGCTACATTTTGAAGGATTATTTCAGATGGCTAGATTTTAAAAAATAACTTCATGAATTGGATATGATCTGTTTTATTTGTTATAAGTTACAAATCCATACAGTATGTGGATTTTGTATAATAACCAATAACCTTTTTTTTTGGTTTCCTATTATGGATCTTCGATGAGGAATATTCTTTCAGTTATTTGCCTTTTAGAGTTTGGTCTAATGTTTTTTAGAAAGGATTAATTTAACATAGCAATGGGGAAATGACTGGAATAAATTAAGAAATAATATTGTTTTCATGGATAAGGAGTCTTAAAATCACATTCCAGTTCACTCTAATTAATCTTAAATTCAATGTAGTTCTAATAAAAATACCAACCAGAATTTTCTTGGAATTACAAAACTGATTCTAAAATTCATATAGGAGAAAGTAATCCAAGAATAGCAAAGAAATTCTTTGGTTTACCAAATACCAAAAGATATGTTAGTGCTGTATGACTCAAGGAGTGTTATACTAGTATAGTGATAGCCAGGTAGATCAGTGTAATCAAATAGAAAGCCCAGAAATAGATTTATGCATGTATGGGATGGTATTAAAAATTGGTGGGGAAGAAGAAGCCTGCTCATTAAATGATGCTGAAGCAAGGGGCTTTCTATACTGGAGGAAAATTAACATGAGATTCCTACTTTATTCTTTATACAAAAATGTATACCAAATGAAGACCTAATTGTGAAAATCATACGTTATAATTTTGGAAGACATACCCATTAGGATGGCTGTTATCCACAGATAAAGCAAAACAGCTAGCTGTTGGTGAGGATAGAACCCTTGTGTATTCCTAGTAGGAATGTAA